TCTATTTAGTAGTTACGTTTTAATTACTATTTACTTAGTGAATAATTTGTATTTAAATATTTGATGAAATAAAAATAATAATTACCGTTCATTAAGTTAATTAAAGTATTTCATTATTCACTCGAGAAATAATAATTAAATAAGTCTAAGATATTATTTAATTACTGAGAAGAAAATTTATTGGACCTAAAAGATACTAAATTTATATTTATTTTTGAATAACATCTCTCCCGACGAAATTTCGTCGGCAAAGGTATAAGACTTGCCCCGACGAAAATACCTCTCCCGACGAAATTTCTTCAGGAAAAGTCTAATCCGACGACCTTTCGTCGGGATAGACCTTTGCCGACGAAATTTCGTCGGGAAAGGTCTTATGGCCTTTTTAAAAACAAAAACCTAAACAAAAAATTATTATTGTCATTATTTTAATTTTAAACATGTAAAATTAGTTTCTTTACTTTCATTTTTGGGCCAACTTCTTTGGTTTAATATATGTAATTAAGTAATATCATAGCCTTTTTTTTAATTACTTTAATTGGTAATTGTGTTTAATTATTATTTCTTTAGTGAATATTTAAATATTTTACTTAATGAATAGCTATTAATTCTTTTATATATATTTCTTTTTGTGGACTTTGTTTTAAATTTTTGTTTTCACAAAATTAGTTTGTGTAAATCCAAGTCTTGAACCAAAAACCCTAGCTTCCGAAATTGTTCCCAAACCTTTTTCGAGGCTAAAATCCATTCTTGGAATGCTAAAATATTTTGGGTACTAAAACTAAATTTCTAGGATTTTTATTAGAATATTCAATGCTAATTATTCACTAAAGAAATAATAATTAAAACATAATCACTAATGAAAGTATTTAGACAAGGCTAAGATATTATTTATTGAGTAAAAAAGAAAATTTTAAAGAGTATAGCCGCCCGGCTATACCCGTTGAATAGCATAATCTTGATTTCTCTTTTTTAATTACTCTATTTAGTAGTTACGTTTTAATTACTATTTACTTAGTGAATAATTTGTATTTAAATATTTGATGAAATAAAAATAATAATTACCGTTCATTAAGTTAATTAAAGTATTTCATTATTCACTCGAGAAATAATAATTAAATAAGTCTAAGATATTATTTAATTACTGAGAAGAAAATTTATTGGACCTAAAAGATACTAAATTTATATTTATTTTTGAATAACATCTCTCCCGACGAAATTTCGTCGGCAAAGGTATAAGACTTGCCCCGACGAAAATACCTCTCCCGACGAAATTTCTTCAGGAAAAGTCTAATCCGACGACCTTTCGTCGGGATAGACCTTTGCCGACGAAATTTCGTCGGGAAAGGTCTTATGGCCTTTTTAAAAACAAAAACCTAAACAAAAAATTATTATTGTCATTATTTTAATTTTAAACATGTAAAATTAGTTTCTTTACTTTCATTTTTGGGCCAACTTCTTTGGTTTAATATATGTAATTAAGTAATATCATAGCCTTTTTTTTAATTACTTTAATTGGTAATTGTGTTTAATTATTATTTCTTTAGTGAATATTTAAATATTTTACTTAATGAATAGCTATTAATTCTTTTATATATATTTCTTTTTGTGGACTTTGTTTTAAATTTTTGTTTTCACAAAATTAGTTTGTGTAAATCCAAGTCTTGAACCAAAAACCCTAGCTTCCGAAATTGTTCCCAAACCTTTTTCGAGGCTAAAATCCATTCTTGGAATGCTAAAATATTTTGGGTACTAAAACTAAATTTCTAGGATTTTTATTAGAATATTCAATGCTAATTATTCACTAAAGAAATAATAATTAAAACATAATCACTAATGAAAGTATTTAGACAAGGCTAAGATATTATTTATTGAGTAAAAAAGAAAATTTTAAAGAGTATAGCCGCCCGGCTATACCCGTTGAATAGCATAATCTTGATTTCTCTTTTTTAATTACTCTATTTAGTAGTTACGTTTTAATTACTATTTACTTAGTGAATAATTTGTATTTAAATATTTGATGAAATAAAAATAATAATTACCGTTCATTAAGTTAATTAAAGTATTTCATTATTCACTCGAGAAATAATAATTAAATAAGTCTAAGATATTATTTAATTACTGAGAAGAAAATTTATTGGACCTAAAAGATACTAAATTTATATTTATTTTTGAATAACATCTCTCCCGACGAAATTTCGTCGGCAAAGGTATAAGACTTGCCCCGACGAAAATACCTCTCCCGACGAAATTTCTTCAGGAAAAGTCTAATCCGACGACCTTTCGTCGGGATAGACCTTTGCCGACGAAATTTCGTCGGGAAAGGTCTTATGGCCTTTTTAAAAACAAAAACCTAAACAAAAAATTATTATTGTCATTATTTTAATTTTAAACATGTAAAATTAGTTTCTTTACTTTCATTTTTGGGCCAACTTCTTTGGTTTAATATATGTAATTAAGTAATATCATAGCCTTTTTTTTAATTACTTTAATTGGTAATTGTGTTTAATTATTATTTCTTTAGTGAATATTTAAATATTTTACTTAATGAATAGCTATTAATTCTTTTATATATATTTCTTTTTGTGGACTTTGTTTTAAATTTTTGTTTTCACAAAATTAGTTTGTGTAAATCCAAGTCTTGAACCAAAAACCCTAGCTTCCGAAATTGTTCCCAAACCTTTTTCGAGGCTAAAATCCATTCTTGGAATGCTAAAATATTTTGGGTACTAAAACTAAATTTCTAGGATTTTTATTAGAATATTCAATGCTAATTATTCACTAAAGAAATAATAATTAAAACATAATCACTAATGAAAGTATTTAGACAAGGCTAAGATATTATTTATTGAGTAAAAAAGAAAATTTTAAAGAGTATAGCCGCCCGGCTATACCCGTTGAATAGCATAATCTTGATTTCTCTTTTTTAATTACTCTATTTAGTAGTTACGTTTTAATTACTATTTACTTAGTGAATAATTTGTATTTAAATATTTGATGAAATAAAAATAATAATTACCGTTCATTAAGTTAATTAAAGTATTTCATTATTCACTCGAGAAATAATAATTAAATAAGTCTAAGATATTATTTAATTACTGAGAAGAAAATTTATTGGACCTAAAAGATACTAAATTTATATTTATTTTTGAATAACATCTCTCCCGACGAAATTTCGTCGGCAAAGGTATAAGACTTGCCCCGACGAAAATACCTCTCCCGACGAAATTTCTTCAGGAAAAGTCTAATCCGACGACCTTTCGTCGGGATAGACCTTTGCCGACGAAATTTCGTCGGGAAAGGTCTTATGGCCTTTTTAAAAACAAAAACCTAAACAAAAAATTATTATTGTCATTATTTTAATTTTAAACATGTAAAATTAGTTTCTTTACTTTCATTTTTGGGCCAACTTCTTTGGTTTAATATATGTAATTAAGTAATATCATAGCCTTTTTTTTAATTACTTTAATTGGTAATTGTGTTTAATTATTATTTCTTTAGTGAATATTTAAATATTTTACTTAATGAATAGCTATTAATTCTTTTATATATATTTCTTTTTGTGGACTTTGTTTTAAATTTTTGTTTTCACAAAATTAGTTTGTGTAAATCCAAGTCTTGAACCAAAAACCCTAGCTTCCGAAATTGTTCCCAAACCTTTTTCGAGGCTAAAATCCATTCTTGGAATGCTAAAATATTTTGGGTACTAAAACTAAATTTCTAGGATTTTTATTAGAATATTCAATGCTAATTATTCACTAAAGAAATAATAATTAAAACATAATCACTAATGAAAGTATTTAGACAAGGCTAAGATATTATTTATTGAGTAAAAAAGAAAATTTTAAAGAGTATAGCCGCCCGGCTATACCCGTTGAATAGCATAATCTTGATTTCTCTTTTTTAATTACTCTATTTAGTAGTTACGTTTTAATTACTATTTACTTAGTGAATAATTTGTATTTAAATATTTGATGAAATAAAAATAATAATTACCATTCATTATGTTAATTAAAGTATTTCTTTATTCACAGAGCCCAAGAGGCCCTACGGCCTAAGGCCCATGTTTTGATTAACTAAATATATATTAATTAACCATTGACTGAAAGGCCGAACCCACAAGCCACTCAATTGGGCCACTTGCATTTCCCGATCCAAACTATATTTTGTCCAAGAGTGTGTTTTATAAAGATCTTCAAGGAACTCTAGTTTTCCAATGTGGGACTAATTTCAACTCAAACATGTTTGTAATGCCTTGCAACAACCAACAGTAGATATAATGAAGATGTTCAACACTTACTAAATGAGCACCAATTGGACCAATTGGAGGGCTTTGGAATCTCTGATGACATCTCCACGAAAAGCTGTAACCTGTTTAAACAAAACATTTTCATTTTCCTTAAGAACTATAGTTGTTTTTGGTAAAATGGCAGCCTGAGATATAATGCACATGACATGGGCTGCATTTGCATAATTAACACAGAACAGGGTCTGCTGTTTTCTCATGCATCTAAGACCACAAGATCAAGGGTGCCAGATCTTGTTGGTTTGATTTCGCTGATGTTCGTGACGCTAGAGGGCTTTCCGGTTTGATACAGGTGTGCCTATCTGGCACATAATCAAACCCTTTTAATCATGCTTGTTTGTGACCCTTCTTTGATTCAGTTGTGAAGAATGTTTGTTTTTCAGTCAATAGCTCATACAATATTATTTGATCCATCTATTTCAGGGCAAAAATGTTTAATGTCCTCTCTCCAGATAGAAGGCTTCATTCCTCCATCCGTCGTGGGTAACTTTCAGATGATCTTAGGCATAGGATTTTCTTTAGGATGAAATCTATTGACTACCGTTAAGATATTCCTTTGAAGGTGTCATTATGGACGTTTATACTGAACTAAATCTATCCTCGTTTAAAGAGACCATAAGGTCTTCGTAACTAGACACGTGCTCAGTTAAGTAAATCGGTGTCTGATTCGTAAACTTTTTGCAAAAATGGTACACTGCGTTACACACGAATACCCCCCTCTTCCAATATTTTTGAGTTTCCCTCCTTTTCATTTCATTTTCATTTTTGGATCGTCTTCTTCCCTCCGTTTTAGTTAAATCTCTCTCGTCGGCCACAGATTTCACCCCCAAAAAAGAAAAAGGGAAACAAGAACTCAGGTAATTCTGAACTTCGATATAATTAGTTTCAACTCTATATCGTCATTTCAGATTGGATTTTAGAGAATTTTAGTTCCATATTTTGGCTAGCTATGTGATGCTGTAGATTCATGGTCGGCTTGATCTGATTCTTGCTTTTAAAGTTAGGATTAGTTGGATATGTATGTTTTACCAATTGGGTATTTGTGGGTTTTATCTCTTTTTCTGAGTTTTTAGTCTTTACCCTATACTCGGCCAGAGAAAGAAAGAAAAGAATTATATATGCTTCTTCTATGAAATCAATAAGGTCTGCTTCTATGTAACCGAAAAAAAAATAAGGTCTGCTTCTTGCCTGCAACTTGTTTGTCAAAATGCTTCATAGAGTTCATAACTTGTTGATATTTGGTATCCTTTCAGTTTGAATTGCATAAACAAGAAATCTTGAATCCGTTGGTTCGATATCTCTATAGAATCCAATTACACATCGTAAACCCAAATTTGGGTTTTCAAATGCAACCATGTCACTTAAATATGGGAAATCCTAAGCAATTTAGACTGGTTCAAATACCTTTTATTAAACTACAATGTCAAAATTTTAGCCTTATATTCTATATGTCATTTCCGTTGCTGCAGGAGTCTGTCCAGGAGAAGGGAGGGAGCATTGTACGGAAAGTGGGATCTTTTCTGAAAATGGCAAGTTACTATGACATTGATGATATTCTTGTGGAAGAACAGGTTAATTCCCGTCTCTTTGTATCCTTGAAATCTAAACTCCATTTGCTTTATTTACTTAGTCATTTTAATTCTGTATTCTAAACATGTTTGCTGTTTACAAGCAGCGTGTCCCAGTTGCTTTCCAGCAAGCAGTAAATGGGGTTGATATTGATCCTAGTGCTGAAACCCATTGTGTAAGTGACCAGAGTGGATTTGGAGTGAATGGTTTTTGTGAGATATTTTCTTATATCTTCTTGGCCCTGTATTTCAGGTTGAACCCGGTTCAAAGGTAGAGCTACCTTACTGGCTTGCCCATGAGTTACACCTCAGAAAAGTAGCAAAGATGAAGGTTCCTGCATGTTTCAATCAAAGGTAATGATCTGTATAGGTTTATTTAAAAATAATTTATGGCCATTTTTTAGGGCTGAGTTGCAGGGAGTTTCATTCTGGCAAGTGGTCATTGATTTTCAGTTATTTCCGTCTTTGAAATCTGATATCCAGACATTTCTTCTCTGCGTTATATTGTGTTTTAATTGTCATATCATTGAATTTATTAGTTGGTACTGATCAAACATAGTTGCTGCCAGCCCAAGGCATGTATTAGATTTTGGGGAAGGCATGAAGAGTGACTTATGTGATTCAAGTTCAAAGTTCAAAATTAGTGATTGGTATTACATATTTAACTCTTGTAGATTTCTTCCTTTGTCAGAACAAAACTGGAACTTGGGGCTGATGGTGCATCTGTGGATTTAAGATCTCGATGTCTATACTTCTATGAATTTGGATGCAAGATAGCACCGCTGTGAGTCTCTCTCCCACCCATTTCTTGTATACATAACTTGATCAGTGTGTTCTTTTTATGCTTTTCTTTGAGTTATCTTCTAATAGGTGGATATTTCATATAAACGAACCCTAGTGTGGTAGAGGGTTGAGAAAATGGTATATGACAAGACTCCCATTCTGGATTAACTTTTTTCACTGTGAAAACTATCCCTGAAGTAATTCAATTTCTCCAACATCATATGTTCATGCTATTGAAAATTCTGGTCAAGGGATATAAAACCCTGAGTTTCTCCTATGAAAGCCAGGTCTAAACAATAGATTAATGTGTATATCTGACACACAAGTGAATGAGAAAATTGCCAAAAGCGAAAATAGAAAAAGAAAAACCAATATGTATAACGTTGAGAATTGGACATTTATTGATTGGCTTGGCACTTTTGTCTTGGTTTAACATTTGGACCTTCACTTTGTAGACTTGGCCTAGTGTGGTTTATGATCTGGTAGGAGGGTATCTAGTGTTGACTGATGCTTCTTGTCTGAATCCAAAGGAATACAACTGGATGATTTGTTTTCTGTTCTTGTTTTTGGGTGGTAAATTGGACACTGAACAATCTGTGCTGTTCACATGTACTATTTGTGGCCAGACAAACTGATTCTAACTAGTTTTTTCTTTATTTTGTTTGAATCATTTGGATGGATAGGGTTGGTGATAGAGACATGGGATCATTCCTATTATCTGCATTTAGGACCAGGTATCAGAAAATCCTGGCAAAGGCACATAACGCAGCATTTACAGCACATTCAAAATTGTTGTCGTACTTAACAAAAGAAGAAACCAATCGTAAGATTTATATCACCCTACATGTTTTATCATATCTTTCATCACTGTCTCTCAAACTTCTTCTATATGAATGTTAACTCAAAATGGTTACACAATTGTTTCTAGTGTATGAGGCAGCTCAGTCGTCAATGGCGGCCTTTAAGAAGTGGCGGATAGGTGGCCCCCGATTTGAGAGAGCTTCTGTACTTGGGAGGAAGAGGAAGGAAGCCAACTGATTAGTCGTATTGTACCCTCTCTACTCTACCTCTCATCTGATCCATCCTTTCTGAATCATTGTCCCAATTTGTAATTTTTCCTACATTGGAAAAGCTAGTTGGTAATTTTGCTGGAAGTTAATGAGATCATTGTAATTTTAATTAAACATCATTATATAATTATTTGCACTCAGTATTGCTAGCACGCACCTATTCATTTATCATTTTATCTTTAAGGCAAACAAAGAGTGAAATTTATTTTGCGGTCCCTCGTGATATATTTTTGATTGCTAGATGTTTGTTTCCTTGTCCGACCCGACCAATAGCGCACGTTTTCCATGCCCATGACCACCCGGGATTCCTCCTCCGGAGCGGAATCGAGCATGGACTTCAACCACCATGAAACCCCAACTAAACGCAGCGTTTCGGGCTCACCCTCAGTCGACGAAGAAGAGGAAGCCGAGGATGCGGAGGTGTGGGACCAGTTTAACCGCAGGTTCCGCGAGGTACAGTCCGTACTGGATCGGAACCGAGCCCTGATCCAGCAGGTGAACGACAACCACCGCTCTCGAGTTGCCGACAACATGGTCAAGAACGTGGGTCTTATCCAAGAGATCAACGGCAACATCTCCAAGGTCGTTTCGCTTTACTCCGACCTCTCCTCCAATTTCTCCACCTTCTTTCACCACCGCAACGACAACGCCAACGCCGAGCCCACAAACTAGTGTCGTTCTTCAGTAGAATGTACTCCAACCCCATCATCATTTTGGAATTTGAGTTGAATTCAATAATCGCAAACAGCTAGGGTTTTTGCAGTGTCGTAATAATAGTGTTTGAGTCGTTTGGGTTTTAGCGCGGGTTAGGCCAGTTGGTTTGGTTTGGACTTGCAACTAAGTCTTCTAAAAATTTAGACTGTCACTTGTATTAAAAAGTTTAGACTGTCACTTGTATTAAAAGAAAAGTGTGTGTTTGAGTATGTTACCCCTTTTGGTCAATAATAAATCAATGAACCAATAATATGCTGCATTGATTGGTTTGTTGTATTATGCAATTTGTGTGTTTTTTTTGCTCGTATTTCTTGCTAACACGCCCTCCTTGTTTTAGGGTTCAACAGATTCCATAGGTTTGGACTTGTGATATTAAAAGGCCTGCTCAGAATCAGCAGGTCAAGATAGAATGTTTAATTTGAATTGTCCAAGTTTGAGACCTAAAAATACAAAAAATGTTTGAGGTTAATAAACCAAGTTCTTGTTTGGGGTGATGTTTTAAGGATGTAATTGAAGAAGTGAGCCAGTCTTAAGTTGTACTTAGCCAAGTAACTGAATCAAAGACTCTTTTTGAATAACAGTAAATACACATATCAGTATTGTGTAACATGAACAGATACATATGTTATGTTGAACAAAGAAAGAAGAATCCGCTTAACATTTGTATGAAAGAACATTAGTACATGAAGTCACAATGGAAGTTCGCCGCTGTCTGTAATGACAACCTTACTCTTAGGCACCCCATTCTGTCCTACTTCTTCAACTTTGTACACAACATCCATTCCAGAAAGCACCTTGCCGAATACGACATGCCTCCCATCCAACCTTAAAATCAAAAGCAAAGCAAAATGTAGGATTTCAAGTTAGAAACATTCCATTCAAAGATGGAGGCTAAAGCATTCCTGTCAGAACCATAACCTACTTCGTAATCATACGACTCGATCAATCTTGTTGCGAGTTCTAGGATTATATATTCCCATCCCATAAATGGAAATAAAGAAACGTACCAGCTAGTTTTGACGGTTGTAATGAAGAATTGCGATCCATTCGTGTCTGGCCCGGCATTTGCCATTGACAAAATACCTGCTTGTCAGACAGAGAGTTTAAGATTCAGATAGGCAAGAATAGACTTTGCACATTTTGGAGTTTTAGCTTCACTTGAAGCTCAATAAGTCGTCATTTTGGAAGAAATTTTGCAAGAAACTATCTAGGTATATGGAGGACTTTAGCTTGCCTGGCCCAGTGTGCTGTAGTTTGAAGTTTTCATCTGCAAAGCTATCTCCGTAAATTGATTCTCCACCTCGTCCATCACCAAGAGTAAAATCGCCTCCCTGTATCATAAAGCTGGGAATAATCCTATGAAATGCACTTCCTTTGTAGTGAAGAGGCTTCCTACTCATTCCAGTTCCTTTTTCCCCTGAAACCCCGAGGGCTCGTTAAAATAACAACAACAAATATGCAGTGGCTTCCATGCAAATAATCAAAGATCACACTAAGGGAGCTAAAGTTACTTGGCTACCCGTGCAAAGTGCTCGAAAATTCTCTGCATTTGAAACAGGCAACTTTGATTAACTCTTTTCGTAGTAATATATCTCAATGGACACACACACAAAAGAAAATTGTCTGCACTTTACTGGGGTACCCACCTATGGTTTTAGGAACTGTTTTTCCAAAGAGACCCATGACTATGCGACCTGAAGCAAAATAGTACATGAATAATATAAAGGAAACAACATTGCCTCTGCCAAGTAATCTACCCCACAAGCACAAAATTCTAAACTTTGAATTGAAGTTTAGAAGTTAGTGGGAGAAATTAACAATGGGTTTTCATCTGACGAAGAATTCATACCAATGGGTTTTCCGTTGATTTCGATATCGAAGTAAACTTTGTGGGTCACTTGCTCCAAATCCTCTTCCTGTCAAACATAGAAACACCAAATATTATAAGCACTGGAAATTGGTTTCCACAGAAAACTGGTTGTTAAGAACAAGAATCCCCACCTCAAGGATCTCGGTTTTGCCAATTTTTGGCTCGTGCAGAGCCCCATCGTCGCCAAATCGAGTCTGAAATCAAATCACAAGACAATCGTAAAACAATTTAGAGAATATGTATCTTGAAGAGAAAATAAGATTGCAAAAAATAACAACAAATAGCGTTGGAGTTTCTACCACAATTACAAATAAGGTGCCGAAGAGCAGCAAAACCCACAAAACAGCTGCTGCCGAAACCAACCTTCTACTGGTGGTCATCTCTCTCTGCGTCCTCTTTCCAAGTCCGCTGGTTCACTGCATTGGTAGACTTGTACGCTGCGCTTGTGAGTCTGCGACTGTATATCTGTGTATGTGGGCCTGTCAACTGGATTAACGTATGTTTGAAAGCTGGGCCCAACTATCAAGCCTTGTCCTGACGTCTAAACCAAGCCTCTCTTTTTTTGGGTCGGTATGGTAACTCGTCTATGTTTGAGCTTCTTTTGGGTACACAAAATAAATAGTCCTTGTCCCTTTGTTACGCTAGACTTCGACATTTCAGTTTCTAATTATAATCTTCTTCAAACTTACAACTTCCGAGTATAAGCTACTCTCGGAGATTGGATTAGAACAGTTTTTGTAGAGGAAGCAGCAATCAAACTGTAAGGGGCGAAAGAAAAATAACCCTAATTATTACTTAGGTTGCCCTAAACTATTGGCGGGTGAAATGTTAACTATTCAGTACAGTGGACAGATAAGGTGTCGTATTTCCTTGTTTTGCACGTGGGACTGGGACATGCTAAACTATCTCTTACATGCTTCCGATTATGCCAAGTGGATTTAAGACCGAGTTTTGTCATTATCTAAATTTTTCATTGTTCAGATCCTGCCTCTTGGTTGATCCAAAAGTATTGGCAGCTGCAGGCAGATCTGTCTTGTATCAATCTCCACCTACCTACTCCAGTACTAAAATATATTCAATAACTCTCACCAACAGGCAAGGCAGCAGTTGTGCATTTATACTTATTTATATCCATATCATTATATAAAGGAAACACTTGCAATTTGACTTGGCTTAATATATTCTAAATCCTTGAAATGCTTTGTAATAACTAGGGTATTTGTGTAGAAGTGCGTTAGGATAGTTGGTTAAGGCAGTGTGTTTTACCCTTTTGCATGTATTAAAAAAATTAAGACTACCGCACGTATATTTTTTTATAAAAAGAAGGTGTTTGCAAAATTTTATCAGAACAGTTGACGAACTTGGTATGAGTTTGCAATGTGGTTGGCAAATTGGTTGATATATTCTGAATAGGACGGAATTTATTCATCATGACATGACCAACCAACGTGTAAAGAAAAATGTTTAGAAGAAGAGTGTAAAATATCTATCAAAAATGAAAAGAAAACGAAGAGTGTAAAATAATGCGACTGGAAAAGAAAAGTCATTGAAGGAACTGGAAAGAAGACAACAACCTCGTCAAGTCTTAAGTCTTTTGTTTTTTTATTTCTTGGACGCGTAAATTGAAATGGGCTCTCCCCTAGAAACTTAAAAATAAAATAGTATAATAATTTGAAACGAGAGAAGTTGATTGGTTGTTAACGTCCAACGATCGACCTGAATTCTAGGCACTCCCTCTCTCCCTCTTCCTCCATCGTTTCATTGTCTCTGTTACTCCCCTGTTTCTCTTACTTTCTCATCCAATCCAATCCCGAGAAGAACCAACGACCCAGAACTTGAAAAAACGCTACAAAACGAAACCGAGAAGAAGATCGAATCGAAATCGAAAACAGAGCAGATTGACAAGGCAATGGGGGATAGCAGCTACAACTACAAGATGTTCAAGTGCTTCAACAGGAAGTTCAAGGCGAGCGAGGCGGGCCCACCGCCCGACGTCAAGGCAATCTTCTCCAAGTTCGCGCAAGATGGGGACCTCATGTCCGTGGACCAGTTCCGGAGCTTCCTGGTGGAGCACCAGGGCGAGCCGGCCGACGCCGTCACTCCCTCCGATGCCCACCGCATCCTTCAGGAGTTCTCGCGACGCCACCCGGGCGAGGTTGCCCACCACCACCAGCACGTGCGGGGCCTCACCCTTGACGATTTCTTCAATTTCCTGTTTCTAGAAGAACCCACGAAAAAACAGGTAAACACAAACTCACACCCATTTTTTGTTTTGTTTTGATATTGCCACTCGAAAAATACGATAAAAAATGTTGTTTTTGGAGCATATTAGTCTAATAACATAAGTCTGGTAAGAAAACATTTCGCGGCCGCGTTAGCATTATATTAGGTTTGTTATAAGGTTTTTATTTTTTAAGAACTTATGTTTGGTAGAGGGACCACCACATTAGCATTATATTAGGTTTGTTGTTGACAAATGTATATGTGATTGCAGATACACCATGACATGACTGCTCCAATATCACATTACTTCATATACACAGGGCACAATTCCTACCTTACTGGGAATCAACTTAGTAGTGACTGTAGTGATGTCCCAATCATCAAGGCATTGGAAAAAGGTGTCAAAGTTATTGAACTTGATTTATGGCCAAATTCTGCCAAAGATGATGTTCAAGTTCTTCATGGAAGGTACTTATACTTAACCACTAGCTCAGCTCATTACAAAATCCATCTCATTTTAATTGGTGTTTTGGTTAAATAAATTGAAACAAAGTTAAATGAATTCTGTGCACTGCAGGACCTTGACCACTCCTGTGACATTGGTCAAATGCTTGAAGTCCATAAAAGAGCATGCTTTTGTTAAATCTCCATACCCCGTCGTTATAACTTTCGAAGACCACCTTACTCCCAAGCTTCAGGCTAAAGTTGCAGAGGTTAGCGTCCATTAGTTCTTGCATAATCTCTTACTTATGGTCTATTCAAATCTTGTCTATAAAGGTTTACAATTTTAGTTAAATTTTGCATCTTCTTCTTTGTGACCTTGAATTTATGATTTTGCAAAATGTAGATGGTTATCCAAACATTTGGAGACACGCTGTATTATCCGGTGGCAGAAGACCAGATGGTAGAGTTCCCATCACCTGAATCTTTAAAAAATCGAATTATTATCTCAACAAAACCACCAAAAGAAGGCAGTGGATCAAAGGATTCATCTGAAGAAGATGAAAAGGTGAGCTGAGAAATGCAAATGCAATTAGTTTATCTCCCAATTTGGTTTCTGGGTTGGCTTCTTCACATGACTTCTTTTACTGGCTACAGAGTGGGAGTGATGGTGAGCCAGCTATTGACAAGGCCAATGCAGCTGAAGCCAAATCATTCCAACAATCAGCACCTGAGTACAAACGTCTTATTACAATTCATGCTGGAAAACCTTCGGGTGAATTGAAGGATGCTCTTGCTGTTGGTGATAAAGTTCGACGTCTTAGTTTGAGCGAACAGAAACTTGAAAAGGCTGCTGAGGATCACGGAACTGATGTCGTAAGGTAGTACCTGCACAAAGTTAACTCATCCCTTCAATATCTGTGTTGTTCTACTGCTTAATGATTCTGTAACTTGCTGTTGTGCTATGTTCTCTAGGTTCACAAGTAAGAATATTCTAAGGGTGTACCCGAAAGGAACTCGATTCAACTCCTCAAATTACAAACCACATGTTGGGTGGATGCATGGAGCTCAAATGGTTGCATTTAATATGCAGGTTAGTTTCAAGTCTTTTTTGTTTGGTCAGAGGTTAGCTGCAAGTTCAAGGTTCCAAGATCCAAATAAAGGGATTATTTGTTTTCTAAAGTAATATAATTCTATCTTTGACAGATATATAGAAACCTACTAACATGTCAAAAATTCTTTAACAGGGAAATGACAAATACAATTGGTTGATGCATGGGATGTTTAGAGCCAATGGAGGGTGTGGTTATATAAAAAAGCCTGACTTTTTGATGCACAAGGGTTCAAATTATGAGGTTTTTGATCCTAAAAAGACCTTGACAGTGAAAAAGACATTGAAGGTGAGCATATTTTCTTTAACTTAAAAAGTGAAGTTCATTTTTGGCAGTTTTGCAATGGTCTCAGTCTATCAAAACATGGATGATATTTGACAGGTAAAAGTATACATGGGAACTGGATGGCACTTGGATTTTAGCCGAACACACTTTGATTCCTTCTCCCCACCAGACTTTTACACCAAGGTCAGATCAATTTTGTTTTGTATTAAGCTAATTTTATGTTTCTTTGGATGTTCAACTTGGAAGCTAATCCATTGGTGTGTGCCAACTGAAAGTCTTTGTGTTGGGGTTTATGGCAGGTTTATATTGTTGGAGTGCCAGCTGATTGTGGCAAGCAAAAAACAAAGATAATTGAGGATGACTGGATACCTGTTTGGGATGAAGAGTTTACATTCCCTCTAACCATTCCAGAGCTTGCCATACTTCGAATCGAAGTTCGAGAGTATGACAGGTCTGAGAAAGATGACTTTGGGGGGCAAAACTGTTTGCCCGTCTCCGAGCTAAAGCCCGGGATTAGGGCAGTGCCCCTTTATGATAAAAAGGGAGAGAAATTCAAATCTGTAAAGCTTCTAATGCGGTTTCAGTTTGTGTGAACTTAGAGCTGCCTAATACTTCAGGATAAAGGCACTTCCCCCCTGCATCTCTGTTTAAATTTTTGTTGTGGCTTCAACAACACCAGCTGTATGCAGGTCCATGTCTAATTACTAATCAGTGAGAGTGTTGATTATGTTTTAGCTTTGCCTTGTATTGAAGCCATGACATTGACTCATCATGACTCATGAGTTTTGCCAGTGGGATCACCTTTTGTAATATACATTAACTTTTAATCTTCACTTACTACATAGCAGGGAGAGGAATTCGAATACATAATTTCAGGTACACGAGTAATTGTTTTTAACTACTTTAAATATAAGCTCCTTATGAGTTGAGATTCTTTAATACGTAAGCAAATGAGAATTATCGGTGGTCACTTAACCCTTAACAAAATGATCAAGATTAAGCATTAAAAAAAGAATTGGAAAAGAAAAGATGCCGACATGAAGATGTAGGTAAATTATGCGGGGTCGTCGAAGTTAATGCATTTCCATCCCAAAATTGAAAAAGTCTAAGATTCGATAGATCCATCCATCCATGTATATGTTGGTGGTTAAGTCATTTTCTTTTTGATAGCTGGCATGGTACCACTACTCCACCACTATTAATGGGTGTTTTGTCCTTTTAGCTTCGAAATTGATTTATTACCATTTAATCTTTTCATTAATTTTTTTACAGAATTTTTTTTTTTTTTTTGGGGGTGAGAATGTTTTAGACATTTCTAAATAGGGAAATTGAGCATTTTCTTCTCAAAGGCAGAATAGGCAAAAACAAATATAGTTGTAGCCCAAGAGACTTGTTAATCTTAAAATATGCTAAGTTATTTTTTTAGGTAAAAAAAATATGATAAGTTTATTTGAAGCTGAATATGGCAAAGCTACACCTTATCTCGTTAATCATAATTAATAACAATTTATCATCAGCCATGTGTAAAGTAAAAGTTAACCCAACTGACTGGGGTCGGGCCCCCACCCCATTCCCCACCACCGTTCTGGAATTACTACACTCTCCCACCCAATCTCTCAAGGACAGACCGACGCATCCCCAAATCCTCCGCCTCCGGATTCCGATCCCGAACGAGCCGATACCCATGTCCAAACAGACCTATAGAGTGTGTTTCTGCTTCCGGCGACGGTTCAAGCTCGCCATATCGGAAGCACCGCCGGAGATCAAGGACTTGTTCGATCAGTACTCGGAGAATGACATCATGACCGTCGATCACCTCCATAGGTTCTTGACCGAAGTCCAGAAAGAAGAGAAGGCCACCAAGGAGGAAGCTCAGGCTACCATCGACCATTGCCTCCGCGAGCTCAAGCACCTCAACATCTTCCACCGCAAGGTTCTCAATCTCGAAGCCTTCTTCAAGTACCTCTTCGGCGACATCAACCCCCCTATCTTGCCCTCCATTGGGGTACCTCTCCTTACATTTTCATCTTTCATTTTGTGTTCTTGTCTTTTTTTGGTCGAATTTTTTTGTTCTTGTTCTTCTTCTCAATTTAGTTCATTTTGTTTTGTTTTTTTAATGAATTTTTTGTTTTTGTTTTTGTTTGTTTCATTTGTGATTAGGTTCATCATGATATGAGCGCGCCTCTGTCGCATTATTTCATATACACAGGGCACAATTCATATCTGACTGGGAACCAGCTGAGCAGTGACTGCAGTGATGTTCCTATCATACAAGCGCTTCATAGAGGAGTGAGGGTGATTGAGTTGGATATTTGGCCTAATTCCACAAAGGATGATGTGGATGTACTTCATGGAGGGTATGTATGCTTATGAAATTTGCAGTCTTTTGCTGTAATGTTGGTACCCATTTGGACAAATTTGTTAAAAATGGTGATGAAATAGTGACTTGTATAGTATAGGTATGTTTTCTTGTTGGTACCAAATTGAGAAAAAACTGGGTTTGTTTTATTATAGGACATTGACTACACCAGTGGAACTTATCAAGTGTTTGAAGTCTATTAAGGAACATGCCTTTGTTGCATCTGAATACCCTGTTGTAATAACTTTAGAAGACCATCTTACCCCTGATCTTCAAGCTAAAGTCGCTCAGGTGGGTATTTGTGATTTCCTTATTAGGATTTTAAGCTCGCATGTTCTAATATTTACTGTGTTGTCACCAATTTTTAGTTGGTCACTCAAACATTTGGAGACGTACTGTTTTCACCTGGCTCAGAGTGCCTGAAAGATTTTCCATCCCCAGAATCACTAAAGAAAAGGATTATTATATCGACTAAACCACCTCAGGAATATCTCGAGGCAAAAGATGCTGTGAAAAGTGAAAATGATCCGAAGAGCGGAAAAACCCAAGTTGATGAGGAAGCTTGGGGTCAAGAAGTCCCGGATCTCAAAGGTGCAAATGTGGTAGATGACAAGGTGTGGAGAATTTTTTGCGTAACTTGCTGCTTTGCTGATTCGGTGTGCCTATTTTTGTTTTTTGTTTTACTTCAGTTGTGTTTTTAGCAGGATGAATTGGATGAAGAAGATAGCAATGGTGAGGAAGATAATGATAAGTCCCCACAACATTTAGCACCCGAATATAAGCGTTTAATTGCCATTCATGCTGGGAAACCCAAAGGTGGATTGGTGGAGTGTCTCAAAGTAGATCCTGATAAAGTGCGGCGTCTTAGCTTAAGTGAGCAACAGCTTGAAAAGGCATCAGAAACTTATGGAAAGGAAATTGTCAGGTATTTGATCCAAATCTTTTGTGAACTAGTAAAGGGATCTCTTAAATTTCTTCCCATCTATGGCATGGCATATACATACCACTATTTTTTACTACAATACGAATGTAGCACTAGGGCGAAAATTGTGTCGTGTTATTTCAAGTGTTGTTAAGTACTAGTTAACCTTATCCCAACCTATTTACTTAAACCTTTGGATAAATTAGCACTAATTCAATTTGTTTAGTAATTGTGTGTTGACAAACATAGCTGTGAACTAGAAACTGAAGACAGAATCCTCATCCCTAAATCATTTATCACTCAGACATCCCATAAAAAGAGAAAATTCACTGTGTCTGTACTCTAGCTAAAGAAAGAACAAAAGCCTTTTGATAACACAAGCATTTATCCAATACTAGATCAAATTTCCATTCTGATGATTGGTTTCATGTAGATTTACCCAGAGGAATATTCTGAGGGTTTACCCAAAGGGCATACGCGTTGACTCATCAAACTATAACCCAATGATTGGGTGGTCTCATGGGGCCCAAATGGTTGCATTTAATATGCAGGTAATGATTTTTTATTCATTTTAAAAGTCCAGTTTTCCATATTGGTAGTGCTTATTTATTTTCCATTCTGCTATATAATTAATATTGTTTTTTTATTCTCCTTTTGGAGTGAACTTGTGTCAATAACCGTCAATCAGGTGAAGTTCTGAGGAGTAGCATTATGATTTTAGAGTAATATGTGGCACTTAGGCTTATGCTATTTTAGTGTGTTTCATTGGTCCTAGTGTTGGTTTTAGAATCAGTGCAAGATCACTCTGGTTTTGCAAGAATTTTTTTTTTCCCAGAAGTTTACCTCTTGCAATTGCTTTGAATGGGTTTCCCTGTGACAGGGATATGGAAGATCACTGTGGGTGATGCAAGGAATGTTTAGAGCCAATGGTGGGTGCGGCTACGTGAAAAAACCGGATTTTCTATTGAAGACTGGTCCACATAATGAGGTCTTCGATCCTAAATATAAGTTACCAGTTAAAACAACTTTGAAGGTGAGTGCTTTATTGCTAGGTTTCAGACTTTTGTCAGTAATTCTTAAGCTTCTTGTCACTATAATGTTCATTTCTTCATTTTGTTCTATCTCATAGCTAATGGTTATTCTTTCATTTTCCCTTGAAAAGGTAAAAGTATATATGGGAGAAGGATGGTATTATGATTTCAAGCACACACACTTTGATGCATATTCGCCCCCAGATTTTTATGCAAGGGTAAGTTGAAGACTACAACATCATTTTAATTCATGTGGCTACCTGTTCTCTGATTTGACTTTTGATATGAATGCCCTTGTTTATGTTTTTTCTTTTGGGGTAAATTAGAATTATTACAGAAAAAGAAAAAAGAAAAAAGGAAGAACCCTGAGAACAAGGAAAATACAGCGGAATCAGCCAAAAGAAGATGCCTTAAACCACAGAAAACAAGCTACCCAGCAACAGCACCAGGCCAATACAAACTAACCCACTGATGCCTTCATTTCTGTTGTCATACTTGGGAACTTGATCATTTGTGCACTTCGTTGTTCTCTCGTGGGTTTGTTCACCCACATCTTTGACCACTCCCCATTCCCAGTCTTTTGGCTTTTGTCTGGATGCTTCATATTTATAGTAGTGTTTTTGAAAATTTCTGAATCATGTAAACCAAGGAATTGACAATGTGATGATTTTATTTATACATTCAGGTAGGGATTGCTGGAGTTGCTGCTGATAGTGTGATGAAGAAGACAAAGACCCTAGAGGACGACTGGATTCCGGCTTGGGATGAGGAATTTGAATTCCCATTAACTGTTCCAGAACTCGCCGTGCTTCGTATTGAAGTTCACGAGTATGACATGTCAGAAAAGGATGACTTTGGTGGTCAAACATGCCTGCCGGTGTCGGAGCTAAGAAAAGGGATTCGAGCGGTGCCCTTACATAGCCGTAAGGGAGATAAGTACAAATCCGTAAAGCTTCTAATGCACTTCGAATTTGTTTGAAACCCTTACATAGCCCTAAGGGAGATAAGTACAAATCCGTAAAGCTTCTAATGCACTTCGAATTTGTTTGAAACCAGTTTCGTGGACGTTGTAATGGCAGAGAACAGAGAAGAAAACGCTACGATAATGTAAAGCCTTTTGCTGTTACATTGTGTGTAAAATTTGTTTGTGAGCTTGTATGTATATGGTTATACATTAAGTAGTTCTCTCTGTGTGATTAATATATACGTCGTGTACCTGGCAGTATATAAATTTGTAAGATTGAAGTAATTGAGAAGAGAACAGTTTGTACTTCACAATAAAATTTGAAATCTTTTGCATTATTTGATAATTTATTAGTTATTTTAGGTGAATGGGCTTAGTTGGACTTCATGGGCCCGCCCAAATGTTGAATGGGCTTCATTATTTTGAGGCCCACTGGCCCATAAACCGATGCACCAAATTCTGAATCCGAATAATAGAGACTCCCAACTGGGTGGCGCTCAAATTCTTAACAGACTCTGAGTCTGCCGCGCTCTGCAAAACCGGAGCAGATCACTGCTTCATACCGAAATTCCCAAAATGTCCTCACCCCACTCGGGCTCCGACACCGACTCCGACCAGAGCCAATCCGGATCCGAACCCGTCCGCCACTCCGACCTCTCGGACTCCATTTTCCGATCATACTTGGAATTCACCGGCCGATCATCAGCCACCAACACCGACCTTTCCAAGATCCAATCTTTCCTGACCTCATCGTCCTCCGGCGCTCTTTCATGCCTCATATGCCTGGAGCGGATCCGACCGGCCCACCCGACCTGGTCTTGCACCTCCGTCTGTTTCTCCGTCTTCCACCTCATTTGCATCCAGAGTTGGGCTCGCCAGGCCTCCGATTCGTCCGCCTTACGGGCTTCCACGCGCCTTCCCATTTCTGCTCAGAAAGCGGCCGAGGTATCCCTCTGGAACTGCCCCAAATGTAGGGTAGAGTACCCCCAATCCCAAATTCCCAAGACTTATTTCTGTTTCTGTGGAAAACTCGAGAACCCACCTAGCGATGACCCGTGGGTTTTGCCCCATTCGTGCGGTGAGGTCTGCAATAGGCCTCTGAATCACAGCTGCGGCCACCATTGCTTGCTTCTGTGCCACCCGGGTCCCTGCCCGTCCTGTCCAAAGCTCGTAAAAGCTCGATGCTTTTGTGGGTCTGTGCAGGACGTTCGGCGATGTGGGTTTAAGAATTTCTCATGTAATAATGTTTGTAATAAGGTGTTGGATTGTAGGGTCCACTGCTGCTCGGAGATTTGCCATCAGGGGCCCTGCCCGCCGTGCCCAGTTCGGGCAGTGTACCGGTGCCAATGTGGGAAGAGAGAGGAGGAGAGGCAGTGTTGTGAAAGGCTTGATTTTAGGTGTGAGGAGCCATGTGAGAAGGTTCTTGGGTGTGGGCAACATAAGTGTAGTAAAGGCTGTCATTCGGAGGAGTGTGGACCATGCCCATTTCAGGGGAAGAGGACATGCCCCTGTGGGAAGACAGTACATGAAGGATTGTCTTGCAAAGCCTCTGTGCCTTTGTGTGGTGCAACTTGTAGTAAGATGCTTAGTTGCGGCTACCATAGGTGCCCGGAGAGGTGTCATCGTGGACAGTGCATTGTGACTTGCAGAACAGTTGTCATCAAGTCATGCCGGTGCGGGAGCTTGAAGAAGGAGGTATGATGTCTGCTATTTTGCTCAAATTTAGATGTCTTTGGATTATAGAGGGATTATTTGAGTTCTTTTTTTATAAAATCACTAAAAGATAGTGCAATTGGATCTAGAATAGGTTCCTTGCCATCAAGATTTGACATGCGAAAGGAAGTGCCAGAGACAAAGGGATTGTGGGCGCCATGCTTGTAAGCGTCGCTGCTGTGATGGGGACTGCCCACCGTGCTCAGAGGTTTCTCTCTCTCTCTCTCTCTCTCTCTCTGCTTTCTGCTTTCTTATTTTAGGTCTACAACTAATTTGTATTGCATTGATTTTTGAACCATTAGGTTTGTGGCAGAAAGCTTCGATGTAAGAACCACAAGTGCCCATCTCCATGCCATAGGTATGTTACCCTATCACATGGCTGTGCAAGATTATGGCCTGTAGTCCATTAGTTGAAAGGACAAAATTCAAGGGAAAAATGCTGGTACATTCTGTTCATTATTATAGGAACCCTGTTTTTTTAGCTCATGAACTTGGCTTTAAAACTGGCGTGTCATTTCTTGCTATTAGTCTCAATCTGTAATGTATTTTAATCAGCTTATCATAGTAATACACCTCCATTTAGAGCAAAATAACGCACACAACTTAAGTGTTTCTTAAACTTATGAGAAATTGAAATCAATATGACAAGTCTGGCATTGCATTCTTAAACTTACGTGTTTCTATGAAAAGTCTACTTGTATTAGAGGAAAAATAAGTGAATAGTTTGAAGCCCTAGCTAAAAAAGAAAAGTTTTTAGTTTGTGAACTTCTGAAGTAGAGTTTTGTTCCTGCAGAGGTGCTTGCGCTCCTTGCCCGGTGATGGTGACGATTGCATGTTTATGTGGCGAGACACACTTTGAGGTGCGAGTTTTCTCATTGCGGATTCATTAGTTCATCTTTGTACTTAGATGGTAATTCTGAATATGGCATCAGGATATATAACACATGTACTAATGGTGGCCTTGCTTGTGACTGCTGCAAAAGCATTCGTACTTTTTGTTCTTTTCTCATTTCTTTTACTTAGTTTGTCTTGGTTTCTATGATTTAGAAAAACAGACCCGGTTGGTAGCATGTCGCATAATGAAATTTACTACATCTAAGTAGCTTTGCCAAATTGATCGGAAGATGTATTTGTCACTTGCTTAATGGATTTTGATTCAGGTTCCTTGTGGTATTGAGATGGATCAAAAGCCTCCCAGATGTCCTAAGCCATGTCCTATTACTCTTTTATGCAGGCATGGAAAAAATCGCAAGGTACTAGGGGTTACTCTGGCTTAGTTTATCTCAAATATTGTTGTTATGATTTACTTAAGAGCTTTACAAGAGTGTCTTAGATTTATTCCAAAAAATGCATCTAGGTGGTTGAAACTAATGGCGTTACCATTATCATGTCTGTACTTTCCTAACATTCAACTGTTATGAATGTTCAAGTGATAGATACCTTGGACTGTAGTTGGAGGGCTGGTTTTTGTTGTATTTACTTCTCCCAACATTTGTGTATCTTTTCTTTTTGGTATTTCCACTTTTCTTTTTGTTTTATTTATTAGAGACAAGAAAAATGTTAACCTATTTAACTATGTATCTCATGCTATGGTAATAACAATCGTTTTTGTTCTTTTCCCAGCCACACAAATGCCATTATGGAGCTTGCCCCCCATGTAGATTACTTTGTGAAGAAGAATACCCATGCGGTCACAAGTGCAAGCTAAGGTTTGCAGGATTTTGCAGTGCACTATTGTTATTTTAAGCCATCCTCTGGTGTGTAGCTCCAGCATATTCTCCTTTGTTCCGCTATTTTCATTTCTTTTTAATCTTCAGGTGTCATGGTCCTAGACCTCCTCCGAATCCAGAATTTACATTGAAACCAAAGAAGAAGAAGTCCCTTCATCAGAGTGAATGTACTCCTGGTTCTCCATGCCCTCCTTGCCCAGAACATGTTTGGAGGTCATGTGTTGGCCAGCACGTTGGGGTGGAGAGAATGGTTTGTGTTTGCTAGCAGAACGTTTCAACTCAAATAAACTTGACTTTGTTATATCATCTTGTCCTCATCCACTATCATTTGTTTGTTCCTCGTATCAGATGGTCTGCTCAGATAAAACACTATTTTCCTGTGAAAACTTGTGTGGAAATCCTCTACCTTGTGGTAATCACTTTTGCACCAAAACTTGTCACCCGCTCAGGAATCAGTCTTTGCCATCAGTCCAGCAAGCAAGAAGTGAGCCTTGTGAGAAGTGTCATATTCCTTGCGAGAAGGTGTTATTTATTCCTTATATTAGACTGTTCTGCTGATTTTCTTTAGGGTTGTTTTCCTAAAATATTATCTTCAGTTTTGTTAGATACTTTTGAAACTAATGGGTTACATGATTGCTGTAAATGTCTTGATTCAGGAGAGGGAGCCTGCATGTTCTCATCCTTGTCCCTTGTCATGCCACCCTGGAGACTGCCCTTCTTGCAAGGTGCTTGTAAAGCGATCATGTCACTGTGGTTCCATGGTCCATGTTTTTGAGTGCATATATTATAACAGCTTGTCTGAAAAGGAGCAAATGGCTGCTCGTTCATGTAGAGGGCCTTGTCATAGGTAATAGTATATGTTTTCTTTCTCTTGTTCTGCTGTATTGCATGCTTGTTTATTGGCAATTTAACTCAATTGTACTAAACAAATCTTGGTTTCTGCATATTATTTACTTTTCAGTATTATTCAAGTTCTTGCTTCTTCTTTTTATTTTCTTATTTTTTAATTTTGAATTAAGAGAGGAGCTGAGAGTTGATGTTCATTGTGCAGAAAGTTGCCTTATTGTAATCATCTGTGCCCGGAGCTTTGTCATCCTGGTCAATGCTCATCCCCTGAGAAGTGCTCTAAAAAGGTACAAATACTTCTTACTTTGTATCAATAGAGTAGGAAAGAAGGATTTTAAATGAAATTTGTCATGTTGTTTGTAGGGAGAAGAATGTGAATATTATTAGCACAAATTACAAGTTCAAGTACTATTTAGCTTTCTCACCTGATTTCTAACTCTATATGCAAGGTTACTGTCCGTTGTGCATGCCAGAGCTTGAAAAAGGAGTGGTTATGTCACGATGTTCAGGCAGCCTATCGGAATGCTGGTTCTGATCCCAAAGATATATCTAAGAATCAATTTGGACATGCACTTATTCCTTGCAATTCTAATTGCAAAAGCAAACTAAAGGTTATTGATTCAGAACTACAGTTGCGTAGGCCTAAAACTGTGGAGGTAATATATTCAAATTCAAACAGGAGTTTCTTTTGCTGGTCCATTTGTATGTGGGTATTATGACTGGCAATTTTAGACTTGCTGCTGTCATCCTAATGCCAATATTTTTTATTTTTCTTTGGTCTTGAAGGTGAAGGAACCAGATACTGATAAGCATGGACCAAAGCGAAAGAAAAGGCGTGAACGGGTGCAAGAAGTGACACAAATCTCGACACTGCAAGTACGTATCTCCATGAAAGTAAAAGTGAGCACTTTGAAGTTGAACTGCCTCTATATTCACTTGCTAACTGTGACCACTGTTTGTTTCGACAGAAAATTGTTTCCAACGTGAAGCGGTTTCTTCTACTTGTCACAGTACTGTTGGTTTTAGTTGC